AAAATTCCGCTTCAGCTTTTTTTAGAAAGTTCTTCAAATTAACAAGTCAACAAGTTTGTTCCTTGCCTGTCGAGATTTTATGGGTGTGACAGCCCAATGACTCAAGGAATTGGTGGAAAAACATGGCTTCCCTGTGATAGCTGTCAACAAAATTGATAAAAAAAAGTTTGGCTTTGTAGACATAGGATCAGAAAATAAGTTAAATGAACTTAGCTCTAAGTTAAAAGGACAGATGTTTAAAAATTCCGTCATCGTGGCTGATAGAGTCAAAGAGAATAAAGAAGTTGAGAAGGATAAAGAATCACAACCTGTAGAATCAATATCACTCCTCGATCGACTTTTCTGCGTCAAGGGTCTCACAAAATTTGTTAGCAAGAAAACGCTGGTTCATGTTTTCAAGAAATCCGAATCTGGTTATCCCTAGTTCGAAAGGGAATGCCCTGAGAGATGCGCTAATCATTTTCCACAAGCCTGAGGAAGTCTCTAGAGCGGTAAAAGAGTACCAAGGCTGGAAGCTGGAGAGGTTGATCTCTGTGGCATCCATCGAAAATGACCTCACCATTAGAAGATAAGTTAAATGAACTTAGCTCTAAGCTAAAAGGACAGATGTTTAAAAATTCCGCTTCAGCTTTTTTTCAAAAGTTGTTCAAATTAACAAGTCAACAAGTTTGTTCCTTGCCTGTCGAGATTTTATGGGTGTGACCGCCCAATAACTCAAGGAATTGGTGGAAAAACATGGCTTCCCTGTGATAGCTGTCAACAAAATTGATAAAAAAAAGTTTGGCTTTGTAGACATCGGATCAGAAAATAAGTTAAATAAACTTAGCTCTAAGTTAAAAGGACAGATGTTTAAAAATTACGTCATCGTGGCTGATAGAGTCAAAGAGAATAAAGAAGTTGAGAAGGATAAAGAATCACAACCTGTAGAATCAATATCACTCCTCGATCGACTTTTCTGCGTCAAGGGTCTGGGTGGAAAAAAGCTGTAGCTGGAGAGGTTGATCACTGTGGCATCCATCGAAAATGACCTCACCATCAGAAGATAAGTTAAATGAACTTAGCTCTAAGCTAAAAGGACAGATGTTTAAAAATTCCGCTTCAGCTTTTTTTAGAAGGTTGTTCAAATTAACAAGTCAACAAGTTTGTTCCTTGCCTGTCGAGATTTTATGGGTGTGACAGCCCAATAACTCAAGGAATTGGTGGAAAAACATGGCTTCCCTGTGATGGCTGTCAACAAAATTGATAAAAAAAAGTTTGGCTTTGAAGACATCGGATCAGAAAATAAGTTAAATAAACTTAGCTCTAAGTTAAAAGGACAGATGTTTAAAAATTACGTCATCGTGGCTGATAGAGTCAAAGAGAATAAAGAAGTTGAGAAGGATAAAGAATCACAACCTGTAGAATCAATATCACTCCTCGATCGACTTTTCTGCGTCAAGGGTCTGGGTGGAAAAAAGCTGTAGCTGGAGAGGTTGATCACTGTGGCATCCATCGAAAATGACCTCACCATCAGAAGATAAGTTAAATGAACTTAGCTCTAAGCTAAAAGGACAGATGTTTAAAAATTCCGCTTCAGCTTTTTTTAGAAAGTTGTTCAAATTAACAAGTCAACAAGTTTGTTCCTTGCCTGTCGAGATTTTATGGGTGTGACAGCCCAATAACTCAAGGAATTGGTGGAAAAACATGGCTTCCCTGTGATAGCTGTCAACAAAATTGATAAAAAAAAGTTTGGCTTTGTAGACATCGGATCAGAAAATAAGTTAAATAAACTTAGCTCTAAGTTAAAAGGACAGATGTTTAAAAATTACGTCATCGTGGCTGATAGAGTCAAAGAGAATAAAGAAGTTGAGAAGGATAAAGAATCACAACCTGTAGAATCAATATCACTCCTCGATCGACTTTTCTGCGTCAAGGGTCTGGGTGGAAAAAAGCTGTAGCTGGAGAGGTTGATCACTGTGGCATCCATCGAAAATGACCTCACCATCAGAAGATAAGTTAAATGAACTTAGCTCTAAGCTAAAAGGACAGATGTTTAAAAATTCCGCTTCAGCTTTTTTAAAAAAGTTGTTCAAATTAACAAGTCAACAAGTTTGTTCCTTGCCTGTCGAGATTTTATGGGTGTGACAGCCCAATAACTCAAGGAATTGGTGGAAAAACATGGCTTCCCTGTGATAGCTGTCAACAAAATTGATAAAAAAAAGTTTGGCTTTGTAGACATCGGATCAGAAAATAAGTTAAATAAACTTAGCTCTAAGTTAAAAGGACAGATGTTTAAAAATTCCGTCATCGTGGCTGATAGAGTCAAAGAGAATAAAGAAGTTGAGAAGGATAAAGAATCACAACCTGTAGAATCAATATCACTCCTCGATCGACTTCACAAAAGGGACTCACAAAATTTGTTAGCAAGAAAACGCTGGTTGATGTCTTCAAGAAATCCGAATCTGTGGTTATCCCTAGTTCGAAGGGGAATGCCCTGAGAGATGTGCTATTCATTTTCCACAAGCCTGAGGAAGTCACTAGAGCCGTAAAAGAGTGCCAAGGCTGGGAGCTGGGTGGAGAAAGAAAGAAGAAAAGCGTTTGAAACATTAGATACAGTAAGATTTGTTATTGCAAGAACTTCTTGTTCCAAACCGTAAACTGAAGACTTTTATTCAGCATCAACTTTCATTTCATTTTAGACCTTTTAAATCAAAACCCAGAACAAGAGAAGTTGCAGGTCGAAAAAATTAGAAAAAAAAGTTACATTTCATTTTAGAGCTTTTGAATCGAAACCTAGAACAAGAGAAGTTGTTACTTTCCATATTGGTCAAGTTGGGGGATCCTTCAACAAAAGTTATTTTTTGTCAAACATGAAACTAAATAAAGAGGATATTATATTATATGCAATTTGTATTTTGTCAAACATGAAACTAAATAAAGAGGATAATATACAATATACAATTTGTATTTTGTCAAACATGAAACTAAATAAAGAAGAAAATAATCTGGCTTCTCGTCTAATTGGCATCCATTTCAACTTCTTCAAGCTATACATAGGAAAAGAAGAAGTTGATACAAAGATATTGAGAGCTGTGTTGCCCGAATGAAGACGGACGCCATGATTGAGCTGATGGAAGCATTGTACACAATCATTCATCTAACTAAATTCAACACAAGTCTTCAAGCTCTTATGTTACTGCACCAGGTCATGGATGTCAGCTTTTGAATCGAAACCCAGAACAAGAGAAGTTGTTACTTTCCATATTGGTAAACAAGTTGGGGGATCCTTCAACAAAAGTTATTTTTTGTCAAACATGAAACTAAATAAAAAGAATCTTTCAACAAATGTTCATCTCCTCAACAAGGTTATTGTTGAACATCCAAAAATGAAGCTAGTAACTGCTGTAGAAGTTGAAAGGTTGCTTAGTTCTATGCAATTTGTATTTTGTCAAACATGAAACTAAATAAAGAGGAAAATGATCTGGCTTCTCGTCTAACTAAATTCGGTTAAACAACTTCAAGGCCGTGAGGAAGATGCTGGTCGACGAAAATTTTCCAAATTGTGGTATAAACCGGTGAGCCTTAAAACAAAACGTGGAGCGTTGGGTTACGTTGTTGAGCCATTAGGGACCCATGAAAACATGAAATGCTAATTTTTTGATAATTTCTTTATGTTATGGTTTAACTACAATCGTCCCAGTAACATTCATGTCGTCCCAACTGGCCTAAGCATGCCAGTGGAAAAATTGATAAAACCAAAGATACCGTGGTTGAAAAATTCTGGTCTGCCATTTGTTTTAATAAAAATTTTCTGGTTTACTCTTATCGATATAGTTTTGATTTTGTTAAAAATGTACTGAAACTGAACATATTGCTTGTATGTTTATATTATATATATTTAAATGATTTAACATTTTTATAAATCTACAACTTATAGTTTACATGATTTTTATGATGAGTGTGGTTGATAGTTAATGCTTTGACACAACGTGGTTAAATTATCGTTTAATCTTTAATAAATTTCGTCATTAAGCTGACTCTGTTATTGTTCCTGGTTCTATTCGTATTTTGTTTTTTTTTATATTATTTTTATTTGTTAATTTGTTCATTTCATGCCTTAACTGGAAATAAAAGTAAAATATTTTTATCTTGTTCTTTTTTTTTACACATTCACATACACACGCATGCGAACGCTAGGCAATTGAAACATGCCAAAACCATTAAAAATTAAAATTATTACAAAGTTTGATACCATCGAATAATCAACAGAGGTGTTGAATATTTAATTCAACAAGTTTTTTAAAAAAAGTTTGGTTCAAAATTGAAGACATGGTGGTCTTATGTTCGTTGCTGTGCGAAACAGTCAGTCCGATGGAAAGCTGATCACTGCTTCGAGACATTTCAAAACATGATGCGGTCAAACATACCGCCGTATGAGTTTTTACATTTTACAGCCGCAATTCATTAATGATAATTTCACGTTAGAAAAATTTGCAACTCCTCTGAAGCATCTGGGTTATACATACGTACATACATGCTGGTAAAAACAGCCGCGGTTGAAGAGCTGATTATTGAGATAAAACATACATATTAATATTTATATGTATTTACATACACATAGCCTATCCTAAAAAATACGTACATTAATGCGTACATGCACACCTACATAAATGCTTACACACATACATACATATATACATACTACATACGCATATATACATACGTACGTACATACATACATGCATGCTTATATGTTGTACACAAACATCACTATATATAGAGAGTAAGAATTCGCCAGAAATGAAAAACTCATCTATAAATTTTTATCCTACCAGCCTTCGACCTACTTCTCTCTTCTACGATTGGCGGGAGGAGTACCATTTCTATTCTGCTATTGGCCGGCCAGTTCGCCACCACACTACGTCACGCAAGCCTCATTCCGATTGGACGGTGGTTGAATGGATCGGATTCTTCTTAAGTGCTGGAAATTGCAGTCGGAATAAATATCTATCAATAATATGATTATTATTATGAATAAATTATAACTATTCAATATAAATATTTGTAAATATGGTCTGTCTCGACATGATAATAATTAATAAAAGATAAAGAACGAACGAAAGATTGTATTTCCTATAGTTAAATACGTAAATTCGAAGATGATGATGATGATGATGATGGGGGCAATTTTATCATTAGCAAGTAAGTTAAAAAAATGATTAAAATAAATATTCATTTATTTTATTAAATAAATAATTAAATGTAAACTTGTGTAAATACATGTGCGCGTGTGTGTACGTACGTGAGAATATATGTGTGCGTGTGTGTATGTGTGTGTGTGTACATACAAGCATCCATACACCATACATACATGCATACATACATACATACATACAGACGCACACACACATGCACAAAGGTTTGATAGCTCTTGGTATATCAAATGCCAGCGTCTTGGATGTAGAGCAAATTTTAATTCAGCAACATCAACAGCAACAGCAGCAACAAAATGATGATGGTCTTCATCAGCATGAAAAACATCCCCATACTCAAAAATATGATCCGCTGTTTCCGTCACCAACATCCCCACCATCATCACCATCATTTACATCATCATCATCATCAATATCATCATCATCACTATTATCATCATCATCATCATCAATATCATCATCATCATCAATATCATCATTGTTATCTGATGAGGAATACCTATTGAAATATTTATTTGAGGATTACAATCCATCAGCTCGGCCCGTCATGCGTTCGAACCAGGTAGTCGAGGTTAACCTGAGATTCTCTCTTCTTCAAATTCAAGAACTGGTTGGTTGGTCGGATGAATGAATGTAAGATAGGATGAAATAGATGGAATGAATTATTGACTGACTGAATGAATGAGTGAATGAATGAATGAACGAACGATTGAATGAAAGAAGAAGAAAATAATAATTAACTTATAAAAAATGCATCCAATTAAAAACAGAACGTACGTAACCAGATCTTAACATCGACCGGCTTTCTTATTCTAGTTAGCCATAATTTCACCATAATTATTATTATTATTATGTTTTTCACTCTATTGGCATTCCTCAGATGATAGTTCTGTGATTAAATGCTTTGTTGAGCAAATAACTTTTTAACTCTCTTCTGAGATCTTTTCCCTGGAACAATTTGCTTCAATTTTGTTGGAAGATCATTCCATACCTTGGGCAGGGCAGAGCGACCTGCACACATCTGTCAGCCAGTCTTGTCCTAAAAGAAACTGATTTATTCGTCTAAAATAGAAATTCCAAATATAAGTGGATAACAGAGTAGTAGCCAGGGTATTTTTCGCCCGGGGACAAACTATAAAATTGGCGCCCCCACATGTTTTATACGATAACACCCCCCACATGGCTGGCCCAATCACATGTATTATACGTCAACATTTTAAAAATTACAAAAACAACTCAAATTTTAATGGAAAATTGTATTTAAAGATAAAACATAAATATACAAATTATAACATATGATTTAGTCACTTTCGAAGATAATTTACATAGTTTACAATGGATTTATTTTTCTAGATTTTACTCAGATACGATAGTATAATACTTTATAAAATTCGGCAGCGACAAACACACAGGCTATACATGCTGTGATAGAAATGGATCTCCCTGCATTTAAACCCGGCTACTGAAACACAGCTGCCAGGCGCCTTAACCATCACGCTATCGCATTGTCCATTTAATAATAATAATGATAATAATAATTATAATAATAATAATAATAATAATTTGTTAATTAACGCTGTAATTTAGGAATGGTCAGACGAAAGACTGGCGTGGAGTAAAAATATAAGCAGCCTGGATGAACTCGTTGTCAAAGGCGATAATATATGGACGCCAGAATTTGCAGTTATCAATGGGTAAAGTATGAATGAATGAGTGAATGAATGAGTGAATGAATGAATGAGTGAATGAATGAGTGAGTGAATGAATGAATGAATAAATGATGAATGAATAAATGAACAACAACAACGACAACATCAATAACAAAAATTTACAATTAATTCACAATTAATTTAAAAGGGTGGATAGCATATACGGAGAGTACAGTGAATTCCAGGCCATCATCAAGCCGAACGGAACCATCAGATGGGAGCCTGGAGGCATCTTTAAGACCATGTGCAGTATCAATATCGCCTACTATCCTTTCGATACTCAATCGTATGTAGTTCTACTTTGATTGGGTGATTGTCTGAATGAATGAATGAATGAATGAATGAATGAATGAGTGAGTGAGTGAGTGAGTGAATGAATGAATGAATGAATGAATGAATGAATGAATGAATGAATAATTATAATTAGATGCGTCATGAAATTCGGAGCCTGGTCGTACATAACGACGAAGATGAATCTATCGACTACAGAAACCAGCGTCAGGCGGGACACCTATGAAGAGAATGGTGAATGGGAGGTCATTGTTTTGTCTTACTAATTCTTCAACAACAACAACAACAACGACGACGACACCACTAACAGCATCAACAACAACATCAACAACACCACCAACAACATCAACAACAACACCACCAACAACATCAACAACAACATCAATAACAACATCAACAACAAAATCTCCACCAACATCTCCACCAACAACATCAACAACAACATCACCACCAACAACATCAACAACGACACCAACAAACCAACAGGTAACTTCGACAAGCGCCGAGCGCCAGGAGTTTGCATTTGAAGACTTTCCGACGGCTCGCTACTCCTACATCCAGTTCTCAATCGAGCTGAAGCGAAGACACACCTTCTACATAATGAATGTTATAGTTCCTGGCCTCCTTACTTCAACAGTTCTACTCTCACTTTTCTACTGCGTTCCATCGCAAAAAGTGTGTACTTTTATGTACGTGTGTAATACATTATTCAAAAGAATCAATCCAGAACCAATTATTCAGAAGAATCAATACATTATTCAGAAGAATCAATAGATTATTTAGTAGAATCAATACATTATTCAAAAGAATCAATACATTATTCAGAAGAATCAATACATTATTCAAAAGTATCAATACATTATTCAGAAGTATCAATACATTATTCAGAAGAATCAACACTACTTTGCATGTGATGGACCTGCATTCAAACCCCGTCACCGAAACACAGCACCAGGCGCCTTAACCACTACACTATCAAACTGCAAACAAAAAACTCGTTAAAAGGTGCACATAGGTGTGGCCGCACTGCTTTCATTCAGACTCTTCCTTGTTAATGTAGCCGATACTGTGCCCAGAACCTCTGATCATGTTCCTCTCCTGGGTTGGTTGCAGTTTTACGATGTTTTCCAGACTTTTTGTTCGTATTTTTGTGTATTTTGCACGCATTTTTGCTGTATTCTTTCAAAAAATGTGATTGCTAAGAATGGATTTTAGTAGTTGACACAATCGTAACGACATCAAGTATAATACTAGCTCGTAAAAAGTTCATTTCTACACAGGCAAGACAAACACACCACACCAAGCAAAAATGTACACACACACACACACACACACACACCCACTGATTCACACACACACACGCACACACACAAACGAAAAAAAATGTACATGCTGAGACATGCAAACACCACACTCCAGGCGTATACCTAACATGTACGATGGCAATCACAACTCTGGCAATGGTGGCAACAGTCTTCGTCGGTAATTTGTACGAGAGGAAAGATAGACCAGTCCCCAAGTGGGTCAAGACCCTTTTGTTTGGGCACATGGCAAAAATACTCTGTATGAGACATCATGTGGCCAACCAGATAGGCGGAGCTAGTAGTGGAGGAAGTAATAAGAGGAGGAGGAAGAAAAGAAGAGGAGAAACTAGAGAGATTACGGATAAGTTAGTGAAAGATTTTTTGATGAAATGTTATATTTGTTTTGTTAGACTGGAAATTGAATTGCTTAAATGTTGTGTTTGCATGAAGGAAATGGAAATTTTTTACTTTTTAGATGGAAAAATCGTCATAAAAATAAAGTTAACTCGGACGACGATGAGAACAACTTCAAAATAATTTCCTGTTTCCGCAACAGCAGCAGCAACCTCTTCCGTTGTTCATCGTCATCCTGTCTGGCGGACATGTCCCAGTGTGTTGGGTCGTCATCGAAAAACAGCGCCGACAACACAGATGACGACAATTCATCGGAGATCAAACTGGATGAAGAGATGCACATGATGGCCACCTACAATCCAAGAAACAGGCGCACAAAAATTAAAACTCAAAAAGCGACTAAAAATGTCCGTGAAGATGAAATCCAAGACTCAAAAAAGCCGAAGAAAGTGGAAAGATCAAGATCATTCGATGTTTCATCGGCTCTTGCCATGATGGCTAAACGTCAAATCGGAGATTTGGACCGATTAAAATCGGGAATGGCCACTAAAACTCCAAACGTCCTTCAAATTCCGATCTCATCTTTGACACTCTCTCCACCACCAAACCTTCAGGTCGAAGTTAACGACAAGCAGAAAAAATTAGAAACAGCATTCACGGACGAAACAAACGTCGGATTACGTTGCAGAAACGCGACCACCGCCTCTGCGACGATCGACACACCAGACGACAATCCGGACACCACGACTAGTTCCTGCTCCACTCCCAACCGACAAGTCCTGGAGAAGAAAAAAACCCAAATTCTGAATTACTCGAAAGATTGGGCGCATCTAGCGGCCGTTTGCGACAGATTTTTTTTTTGGCTCTGCTTCTGTTTCATCCTGGGAACGACAGCGATGCTCTTCCATCCGAAACTATTCAGAAGGTCGCTGGCAGACAATATCTGATCTCGTATGCTTGTATAGCTAGGTGCGTGTGTGTAAGAGAGAGAGAGAGAGAGAGAGAGAGAGAGAGAGAGAGAGAGAGAGAGAGAGAGAGAGAGAGAGAGAGAGAGAGAGTGAAGTTATGAAAGTACTACTCATCGAAAGTAATCATGACATTGATGATAATGTAACCATGACATCGATGATAATGTAATCATGATATTGATGATAATACTAACCACATAGAGCGATGACAGCCGTAAGAGAACTACTTGAAAATTACTTTAATAAGCAAATAAGTATTTAACAGCGTTCAATCAATAATTTTTCCCATTCAAACATTGAAGGGTATCTTTTCTTATCTAACGACGATAAGATGGCTTTATAAAATGTGTGTTTCAATTTTCCACAATAGGCCGCGCCTGTTGCTCTGTTCATTATACGCTTCTGCATATATGTTTGTATCACACCATTGACATTCTAATTATGCTATGCACATTACGTTGAAAAAAAATTCTTCTGAACTATCACAAAAACAGTAACTGACAAACACACACACACACGCACGCACGCACACACATACACACGCACGCACACACACACATTCATAAAAAAATATAAATATTTTACAAGAGTTTATCGACGGCTTATGCACGCGCTAAAACATAAATACGAAAAATTTTTACTAAGGCAAAATTAATTAACCTCAATTATTTGATTGGTTGATTAATTAATCTATTAATTAATTAATTAATTAATAAATAAATTTTATTGAAAAAACTTCCAAATTCAAAAATCTCGTGAAGAAAAGAAACAACGACAGTATAAATGAAAAAATTAAAGAAAAGAGACTTGTTCACATTTAACAATTATAACGTAATAATCATCTTCCTCATCTTCAGCATCACTACCATCATCATCATCACAACTACCATCATCATCATCATCATCATTCCAAAATGGCGGCCTGTAATTTAGCGCATTTCCACATGGCGGCCAAAACCCTCAACAACCCAGTGTCTTTGGGCTTTTCCAAACCTCTCATCAATCTTCTCTTCATTACTGAGATGAATTCTCTGTGACTAAGTTCACCGTCGTCTGGGGACAAAAATCAATCAAACAATCAATCAATCAACAAACCAACCAACCAATCAAACAACCAACCAGCCATCCTAGCCAACCAATCAAACCAGCTAAACCAACCGTTTTCATCAAAGAGTATGAAGACGACGTCAATGAGGTGATCGCTGAGATTCACGTGCGCCACAGTCTTGGCCACATGCTTCAACGTTTCTACAGTGTTCAAAATTAATTATAGGAAGAAAAACATTATCTTCACAATCGTTATCATCATCACCATCATCATCATCATCATCATCTTAATCTCAATCATTACCAACTTAACTAACGTTTATCTATGGAGGCCCCAGCAACGTTGTAAAAAACAAGAGCTACGTCAATGTCGTTGATGTACTTGAGGACTTGGAAGAAATCATAATAATCCTGGAACGATATGCCCTGCATAGCGATAGATAGTGCAGTGCAGAAGATGATGATGGTGATGAAGAAGATGATGATGGTGATGAAGAAGAAGATGAGGAGGCGGTGATGAAGAAGAAGATGACGAGGCGGTGATGATGAAGATGACGAGGCGATGATGATGAAGATGCCGACTGAGGTTGAGTGAGTGATCGATTAAAGTGATTTTAAATGCGAACTGACGACCAAATAAAAGAAAATCGGATTAGGCAAAACTAACTAAGACCATCCATCAAACAAATTAACAGAAAAAATCGGATTAGGTAGAATTAACTTACGGTCCCACCGGCAAAGTTCCTCTTAACCTTCTTCAACATCTTGGACCTCTTATTGAAATTGTGACCAGCGTAGATGATGATGCTATCTGCGAAGTCTCTTTCGCTGATTTTTCCATTCGTCGGTTCATATCTGTTGAACTGTTTGTCGTTGTTATTTGTCGTTGTTGTTTGTTATTATTCTCCTTCTTACCATTTTATCTGTCATCATCATCCTCATTACAATCATTTTTATTATAGTTTTAAAATCTTCATCACTGTTGCTTTAATACTACAACTACGACAACTGCTACAACTACTATTTCTACAACCACTACAAATAATAAACCATCATCATCATCATCATCACCAGCGTCATTTTCTAATCCCTAATCTTACCTCCAACTGCAGCACCTCGGTCATCAGCTGCTTCTGAAAGTCAAGGAACTTCTCCACAGTGAGTTTCTCAGTTAAGTTGGGGCCGAAAAAATAGTTGGCCAATCCTGAACTCATGGACTTTAGGATATTTCCTGTCACGGCGTGATCCCTATGACGCATGCCAACGCAACTGTGTGACCTCAATACTTCTGTGACCTATTTACATATACTTTTCCAATTAAATACTCAATACTGTAGTGACCTATTTACATGAATTTTTCAAATTAAATACTCAATACCGCAGTGACCTATTTGCATAAATTTTTCGAATCAATTACTTTCTAATTAATTTTCCGAATTAATTACCCTATACTTTAGTGACCTATTTCTATTTAATTGGATAATTTTTGTTGAATTAATGCACAAATGAATGAATGAACAGACGTGTCGGCCAGTGAATGAAAGAATAAATTAATGAATGAATTAATGAATTGATTAACAGGTAAATAAATTAATGAATGAGTGAGTGAACAAACAAACTAAATATATTCATAGTTAACGATTTTAATAAATTTGTGATTGGGTATCTTTGCTCAAACAATAAACGAATGAGTAGTTAAATGAATGAGTGAATAAATGAAATAGTATACAAATGAATGAGTTAACAATAGAATGAATGAATTAATAGATAAATTATGCTAATGTACAGACCCTATCAAATTCATCGAAATCTAAGTTACCATCTCCGTTGAAGTCAAACATCTTAAATGAGATCTCGATAGCTCGCGGTGGGGCTGTCAGAGTATCAAACTAATTTTATCAACATCATCACAACCATCATCAGTGGTATCATCATAATAATCGTCTTTGTTATCATCATCAACATTACCCCTGTCATCATCATCATCATCATCATCTTTATCACTATATCAATCATATGAACTAGCAGAAACTTTACGTCGTTAATAATAATTATTCCAAATCAAGAACATCAAGCTGAATTGAAAAGTTCAAACCACAAAAAAAAAACCTAGTCAGAGAAGGGACAAAAATTAAACTACAGTGCTAGATTGAATTGAATGAAGAACATCATGCTAATTTGAAAAATATAGCCTCTAACTCGAGAGAACGACCAACAAGAACATATAATCAGAGAATGAAATGAGGCCATTTTGTCCAAATTTCCAAAATATGCTGTTTCGGCCAAGTCGACTGTCGATTTTGTCAACTTTCGGGTCAAATTTGTCATAGTGGTCCAGCCCTAACCCTAATTTTAGTAATTTTTTTAAGTTACAATGATTTTAGTAAATGAATAAATAACTAATGGTTCTTTTTTTGTCATTATCATTAGCAATGTTTATCATTTCATATTCACCATCACCTTCATCATCATCTTTGTTATCCCATCATCATCATCATCATCATCATCACCTTACTACCAACCCTCTTCCTGTTTTGAGCCAGGAGTAATGGACTTGACGAAATCATCGGGAGTCATGAAGACGGTGGTCGTATCTTTGTCAGTTTGTACTTTCTTTGTGGCAAAATAGCGAAATATTTTGTCTGGGGTCGAGAAATCTCTTACTCTGTTCTCGTACTCTATTATCTGTTTCCAATTTTAATTATTTCTTTGGTTAAAGTTTTCATTTTTTTAGTAAATTTTAATGTTTTAATGCAACAAAAAAATTAAATAACAAATGAAAAAATGGCAATAACCTTTCTTTCCCTGAAACCAACACGTTTCTTTTTAGCTTTCTCATCGGTAGGACATCCACCCCCACCACTACCACTACCAGCTGCACCGGGCGACTCATTGGCATTGGCCCCAGACGAAGACTCCGTTTTATCATCCTCATTTGATGGGGATGCTGCATCGGCTTTGCCCATAAAATTCGGCCAACTATTTAATTATAATTTAATTAATTGAATTTGTATAATAGAAAAGATTATTATACTATTATTAGTATTTCAATTCAAAAACAACTGAGTTTTTTTTATACTTTTAAAAAATTATTCACTAACAAATCTGTCAACAGAGAAACAAAAAGTCCGACACCAATCACTGTCATGTAGGCCGCCTGAAACCACGTGCCCGGCTTCGGAGTTCCGTCGGAGAACTTGGAATATAAATTTTTCAACCTAATTTGTTGCCTGAAGCTGGAGTTAAGTTGGGGAACAACTAAATTGAATTTGTTTGTGAAATTTCGGTAAGTAGAATTTACAGAAATGTGGTGGTTGTTGTTTTTTGTCGTTGTGCTGGCGGTAGCAAAAGAGTGGAAAGAGCAGCGACTGTAGAGACTGCAACTACTTCCCCCTGTAAAAATGACACTGGACGTTTTGAGAGAATTCGAGCGGATAATCTCCTTCAGAATTTTAAATGTTGACATTTTAAAATTAGTTTATTTTGATTAGTTCTTAACGAAGTTTACTGATAAATTTAATGGCTTTTAATTTGTAACAGTAGAAAGACATCTTTTTTTATTTTTAAACAATTTCTTCATTGAAAAGATTAAAAGTTGACGGTAGTATCAAATAATGTATTAAAAAGCATACTATCATATATATAAAATATGTTTATCTTTATATGTTACATTCTATATATGCAAACCGTATAAAAATGAAAGACCATGTTGAAACCACATACAAAATAATACTTCGAGCCAATAGAAAATAAGCTAAAAAGCTAAAATGTAGTTGGATATCACATTTTTATTAATATACACGTGTTCTGTACAACGCAATGTGATGGATCAAAATGTAACATTTGGAAATAGAAGGTTGAGGTCTGTTCGATATTTTTCGAATAAGACAGAGCCACACCTGGAAATATTTTGTATTTAAATTATTATTTATTCAATCATTCATTTATTCATTCAATCATTCATTAACTCATCCATTCGTCTATCTATTCTATTCCATTCTTCAACCAGCGTGAAAAAATATATTAAACCAGTTTCAGTTCATTCGTCTGTTATATCGTTCGATCTTTCAGTAAATCAATCATTGATTTATTTATACATTCACTAATTCATTCATTTTTTAATTCATTCATCAATTTAATCATTCATCCAGCTATTCCATCATTCAAAATAAAGACATATTTAAATCAACACCTCGAAGGAAGACAACACTCCGAAGGAAGAAAAAGAATGGAAATAAACCTTCATCAATCCTTAACCCTCTTCAACCCCCATAAACAAACCTGTACATATCTGGATAAAGTCCATACTTTTTCGTTCCGGCACTTAAAATATGAGGTAGGTGGATGATGAAGTCATTTGGGGCCACCCAGAATTCAAACCCGAGACCGTGGAGTAGGCGGGCGTATGCGATCTTATCGCCCATTCTTTCCATTAAGTCCTCGTTGAAACGGGCCCACAACCATTTCGGTGCCACCACGTACGGTTCGAACGCGTCTTTGAATACTGCCTGGTTAGGTGATAGAGTGAATGAATGAATGAACAGAAAAAATGAATAAAATTGTTTATTTAAAATTGATATAATTTTTTAAAATAGAAGTTATACTCGATACGGTTCAGTCGCAGTAAGCCATCTACTGTAATTTGTAGGCTGATGTCCTAGTTTCCAGCCAGATTTAACGCTGATGAATGAACGAATGACTGAATGACTAAATGAATGAATAGATGAATGAATAGATGAATGAATGAATGAATGAATGAATGAATGAATGAATGAATGAATGAATGAATGAATGAATGAATGGAAAAACTCAAAAGCGAACGAACGAATGAATGAAAGATGAATGAGCGAACAAACGAACAACAAATTGATTAGTTTATTAAATGAATGAAATGAATGAATGAATGAATGAGTGAATGAATGAGTGAATGAATGAATGAGTGAGTGAATGAATGAGTAAGTGAATGATCAAACTACACTAACCCAATTCCGTTAACTGAACCTTTTTCGATTAATTTGAGAAGTTCGCCTTTATTCTTTGGGAACAATTTTTCATCCAAATATATTTCAGACTTGAAAGCAGGTAGCAAGAATATCTAATAAAAATATAATTGAGCGGTTTATTCGATCATTCATGCACTCGTTCATCCACTCATTCATTTATCCACTTAATCATTTATACATGGCAATAGTAATCTTTCTCTTCTTTTTGCTCTTGACTTTTACTCTGCCTTTGGTACTGTTGATCCTGATCATACTATTCTCTTCATAAGGCTGCTAAATCTTTCTTTTAATATTACTGATTCTTGTCTATCTTGGCTTTCTTCTTATTTTTTAATCGTTTTCCTTCTGTTGTTCTCAATAATTCTATTTCTAACTCCTCTACTTTAACTTTCGGTGTACCTCAGAGTTCTATCCTTAGCTCCCTTATATTTATGCTCTGTACTTCTGAAATACCTCGTATTATTAATATTTTTTTTCACTAGTCAACCATATGCTGATGATTCTTAGAGTTATACTTTTTTCCCTCCATCTTATCACAATAGTCTGACTCTGTGTCTTAAACTTAATCCTTTAAAATGTGAATTCGTTTTAATAAATCTAAACGCTCTACTATTCCTCCTATTATCTTACCCAATTCTGAAACTCTTGATATTTCTCACAAGTTTCGTAGTCTAGGCTTTATCTTTGATTCTAGTATGTCTCTTTCTTCTCAGACTAATAGTGTTGCTTGAAGTTCTTACTTTCATCTACGTAGTATAAAAAAAACTTTTGCCTTTTCTTGACGATCCTACTTTTCTCCTTCTTGTTACTTCGTTAGTCTTATCTAGAATTGATTATTGTAACTCGCTCTACTATAGCCTTCCTTATTCTACACATAATTGATATATTAATTGAACCTGAACGCGCCGGTTTACAATCGTCTTCTTGTTCTCACTTCTTCTTAACTCGTGTTAAACACTCTTTTGCTAAATCGGCATTTACTTTTTCTGGCCCTTTTCTCTGGAACTCTCTACCTCCTTCTCTGACTACTTCTCAATTACTTTAGAAGTTCAGAGCGGATCTCAAGACCTATCTGTTTGCAAAATTCATTGAGGAGCCTTGTTGAACATCGCGGAAACCACGCTTTATAAACTAATTGGTTGATTGATTTGTTCATTCATTCATTCATTAAATTATCCATTCATTCATTGATGTATTAATTCATCTAATGGAGATGTGCATTAATAGAAACAACACAACCGTGTTATAAATATAGTAGAATCGAACCTTTTTAACCGAATTTCCATTCGATTTGATCATGTTCTGAAGACTTCGGTATGCTCCTTTGTTTGGTATCAAATCGATATCGATATAGAAGTTGTAATCGGCGAAACTGTTGTTGAGCAGCACATTCCTCATGTAGTTGATCGGGTTGTGACCCTGAAGGTGAGTAGGTATTGTAATTCGGCATAAAAATATGTACCGGATAATAATCGACCGACAGCTAAGATGAATGTCGGGACATTTTTACAAATCACCACCAACACCATCACCATCTTAACTAACGTCTCTTTTATAGACCAAATGGACATCCAACCTCCTAACAATATCTTTCCGGCTCAAAATGGCAGATGACCTTATTATGAAATCTAGGTTATGGTAGGCATCATGTTCACTGACGTACAACAGAATGCCAAGGGGTCCAGGCCATTCCTCAACGAACCTCTCCAGCGAGGACAGCCTATCCAAGGTCGACACAGATAGCGCCATAATGCTTGGCGACTATATGGGTGGATTAATTATGTGTGAATTGATGAATGGGTAGATGAATTGATAGATGAATGAATGAATGAACGAGCAAAAGAGTTATTCACTAAATTGAGAACTACATTAACCTCGTCCTTGACATTGACAAAGTCAGCGACGTAGTTATCAACGAGGTGACCATAGTAGTGCAAGTGAGTTCTCCTCTTAGCATAGGCGAGACTCAGGAAAATTTCGCAACCAAATAAGTTTGTATTATTTGGCTTAGGTGGAAGTGGCGCTGACAGCCACAACGAAGATGGCGATGATGAGGAAGAAGATGGCGATGATGAGGAAGAAGATGGCGATGAGGAGGAAGAAGATGGCGATGAAGAACTCAATAACAATGATGGTGGCGAGGCTGATTTGTCGTCCTTATTATCAGGATCATTCTCTATGACGTCATCGTAACATTCATCATCGTCATCCTCCTCATCATTATGATAATCTAAAGTTTTGAAACATTTAACGTAGGAGGCCGCTGATGTCCGGCAAATCATCGGATCTGGGTCCGATTTGGTAGCTGGGGTCGAACCTGCTCCCACCACATTCTTATCACCATTTTTAGTACCATAATTAGTTCTGGGTTTGGGCCGAACTCTTGCTATTGGTGCCGATATGGTCTCAGACGATAAAATTTGATCTAACTTAACCTTCGCTAGCTGTAAGATCTTGATATCAGTGCTCTTCAGTTTCTCGTTGTTGATTATTAAGATATCTTTGCTGCTGATGTGGCGCGCGTGAGTGCTGCAGCGATTTTTGCCCGAAAATGTTTCAGTTCCGATCGGAGAAAGTGAACATGGCAACAAAATGGAACTGGGGCCACCCAATTCAGATGGTGACTGTGACAACGACGACGACGATGAAGGATTTAGTCTGTCCGCTAGAATAAGTGCCACTTTTAAACATTGGTAGTTGTTAGCTGACTGTATCTGAATGTGTGTGTGCGTGTGTGTGCGTGTGTAAATAAACTGATTATATCTGTGCATATTTGCATGTTATTTACATGTTATTTTTTGGTTGACAATGCAGTAGGAAACCAGTAGGATATATTACAATTAATTATAATACTACTGCTACTACTATTGTTACTGCCGATACTATTACTAATAGGTTACGGCTATTTTACTACTACTACTTCTACAGTAACTACTATCACTATTACCGCAATTACTACTAAAACTACTACTATTACCGAAATACGGAAAAACATTAGCCCAAAAAAAACCTTTTTACAATCGTCATGATCATCTTCATCATATGTGTATTTCAAGTTAGGATTTTCCAGGAGACCCACTTCCGCTTTCGCCAGCCAATCAAAAACGTCCGTCAAGAATACGAATTCGGGCCTAATGTAGATGACCTTTGGGAATTTTCAAAGTTATTTTTAGGCTTGTTACATTTTCTTTCATTCAGTCTTTCGTCTAATTTAGTTTTACCCATTCGTTTATACGCTTTTTCATTACTTACTATATTAATTAATTAATAATTAATTAATCAATCAATTAATTAATTCCTTTCTTCACTCATTTGTTCATTCACTCATTTGCTCATTCATTTATTTCTCCATTCATCTATATATCTACTCATTCACTCACTTTCTCATTCAGTCACTCACTCATTCATTCATTCATTCCATATTAACCTTGGGTGCATTTTTAATCTTTTTGCAAAGGTGCGCTACATAATTCAGGTAAAACTCCGATGATGATGATGATGAAGATAATGATGAAGAAGATAATGATTGTGGTGATGATGATGATGTTTTCGATGAGGATGATAATGATCGTGATGATGACGACGATGATGACAACTTCTTCAACTGGTTCTTGTTCATTTCATGCACCTCATAACGCACTGTTAAGGACGGATGAGTTTTTGAAAAACAATTTTACAAAGTATGACTACTACCACAACCATCACCCCTACTACTACTACTACTACTACTACTACTACTACTACTACTACTACTACTACTACTACTACTACTACTATGATAATAATAACAATAATAATAATAACAGAAATAAAAATGAATGTGCACTTAACAGTCGGCAGAGTTCCAAGTCTTCAACAGGTTTAACACTATCTTCTTCAACAAATTCACTGATGACGATGATGATGATGAGGATGATGAGGATGATGATGATGATGAACCGATAATTACGACATGCACGTATAAAAAACAGGAATGTCCGCTCAACAAGCCTTTTATAGAATGGACCAACATCCTAATCTGCTGTCTTGCTGATGATGATGAAGAAGAAGACGATGATGAAGATGAAGATGCGGATGATGAAGACGATGATGTCGTAATCGGGATTATTATCCGAGTTGAATTCTAGTAGGAATTATAAAAAACAACATTTGAGAAAAATTCCTAAAATTAAAAATGCAAACAGACAGACAGATAAACAGGCAGAGAGACATACAGACAGTTAAGCTGGCAGACAGACAGACAGGCAGACAGACAGATAGACCTGCAGATAAACAAACAAACAAATACACACACAAATTATTATTTTTAAAATAATTTAAAACTAACGCCACAGATTCCTGCACGCTCTTTAGTACTTTCATACTTTATCGTTACTGTCTTCTCCCGAGTCAATAGTAATACAACTGAAGGGATGAATGAATGAATGAACGAAAGAATGTTCATCATCATCATAATCATCACCATCATCATCATCATCAACAACAACATCATCATCATAACTCAACTGACCGCTAACTATAAAGCTGACCATGACAAACTTTAAAATTACCCAAGGACGCATTTTTATGAAAAAATACACGTGATTATGATAATGATTACGACGATGATGAAGGTTCTGATGATGACTATAGGGCTAGTTGTGATGATGATGTTGTTGTTGTTAAAGTATAAAACTTAATTATTAAATAAGTGTTGATGAAGGTTCTGATGATGACTATAGGGCTAGTTGTGATGATGATGTTGTTGTTGTTGATGATGATGTTGTTGTTGTTGTTGATGATGATGTTGTTGTTGATGATGATGATGATGTTGTTGTTGATGATGTTGTTGTTGATGATGATGTTGTTGTTGATGATGATGTTGTTGTTGTTGATGATGATGTTGTTGTTGTTGATGATGATGTTGATAATAATGGCCTCGTTAATTATTACGCAATGAGTTGGAAAAATGTTATTATCATTATTTATTTATTAATTATTTATTATTATTATTTGTTATTATTATCCTTTTATTCTATATTTATTATGCATATATTTTTCATTGCTGATAAGATAATTTATTAATGGGAGAACGCAGTCTAATAATTTCAATTAATTTTCAAACTAAATCAGAGATAAAAATCCATATATATATATATTTTATTTGTCTCTCTCTCTCTCTCTCTCTCTCTCTCTATATATATATATATATATATATATGTAAAAATAGTTGATCTGATAATAAGTTGATCTGATATATATATATATATATATATATATATATATATGTAAAAATAGTTGATCTGATATACATATATATATATATATACATATATATATATATATATATATATAATAACCATTATAATAAGCATATATTTTTCATTGCTGATAAGATAATATATGTATATTGTATATATGTATGTGTTGATAAACGCCCCTAATAAAGGCCATAATTATATGCCTTTATGGTTTGTATTCAGTGTAATCATCAACCCTACTAAATGAATGAAGCAGATGCGAGATGGCTGTTACAATCAGAGAAGATGAATTCATGTTACGTGATGCAAGTATGTCTGTGTGTAAATGTTATATCGGCTGACATTTTCGTTACGCCATGCATAAAAATTTTTTAATTCCATTATTATTATTAATATTATGATTATTTATTACTATTATTATGGTTATTTATTATTATTTAATAGTTGTTATTTATTATTATTAATGTTATTTATTGTTGTCGTCCGTATGTGATTGGTTCGTTGTAGAACTGTGTTTCAGAGAAAAATAAAAGCATGCAAAACTTAACGATTAAAAGAATGAATGATTGATCTATTTATTATATAATGGTGAGTCAGTCAAAAATTTAAAAAAAATTTTTATGAATTCGATTTGCTGCTACTGCTATTACTTCTACTACTACTATTATTACTACTACCGCTACTTAATAAAATTGGTTTTAATTGTATTTGGGTGGTGTCAGCTTATCTCTTAAGAACATTTTTTGCAATACCGTTCAGTTTAACCACACCCCAATTATGCTATAGAGAGAGAGAGAGAGAGAGAAAGAGAGAGAGAGAGAGAGAGAGAGAGAGAGAGAGAGAAAGAGAGAGTTGGTAAAAATAATAAAAAAAAGAGAGATTATTCATATTTTTCATTTGTTTGCAAAACTTTGAAGCGACTTTTGACGGTTCAGAATGAGAAAGAAATGAAAAAAGAAATTGAAAAAGAAAGAGAGAAAAAGAAAGAGAGAGAAAAAAAGAGAGTGAAAAACGCCAAAAATTATGGCTTTATATGATACTATCTTATCAAGATGTAATAAATATTAATAAAATGATAAGGAGCAGAAATAAATGATTTACTAATGCTGCCAAAAAGCGCTACTACTACTACTACTACTACTACTACTACTTACTACTACTACTTGAAACAATATTTAATATGATTTTTGAATAAGTTTAAAAAAAGACTTAATTATTTTTGCTATTTACAAATAGAGTTGGTACATTCGCAAACGTAAACAGATAAATATATCTATAAACAAAATCGTAGAGAGTGAATTGAAACATTTTTCTGTCATGAATTTTTAATAAAATTATACAAATATATTGCAAAAATAAACAAAATTTAACAAAGTATAAATTTGAAAAGCCGGAAAATTAAAATTTTTTACTATTACGAACTGCCCACCCAAGCCAGACCAAACACTCGGTCTCCAAAATGTCGCTTCAGAAATACCTCAACACAAAAACAGAATCCACCCACGATGTTCACCGTCAAATAACACCACAATCCACATCATACACACCGATATACACACTAAAAACACCACACACCCCATCATACACACCCAAGTCAGCCTCGTCATTCACACCACCCCATAACCTCTCTCAAACCAGACAAGCAGAAGCCAAAAAGCAAGCAGAAAAAGCCATAGAAGAAAATAAAATTTTCATAATCCAGGGCCCTTACCCAATTCTTAGAAAAATTCTGCGAGAGAGGGGCTGGGTTGAAATGTTTTACCAATTTTCTTCCTACAGGACCCAATTAGGAGAATTGAAGCACGACGACGCGAACGCTGACGACAGTGACGTCGACTACTACGACGATACCACCCTTACCACAGCAGCAAATACTGCCGCTCTTATTACTTCTGCCGCTAATTATCATGCCTATACGACGACTACAAACTTAACAAAGTTAAATATCAGTGATAGATTAAGTACTAACAGATTAAAATTATCTAAAAAGGTTGTAGAAGAAGATGAAAAATGCTTACCGTGGGTCGAAGATGATGGCTACTACGGCTACCTTTACCGGCTGGTCAATAAGCACAAACCGACCCTGTTTTGGGGCTCTAGGAGAGATTTCTTCAACCAAAAACTGCTCAACAGTGATCAAATTATCAATCATTTCACGAGAACTGTTTTTACGACGAAGGTGGGACTCAGTAATCATCTAAGAGATCTGCATTGGTACCAACCGAATTCGTGTTATACGTTCTATCCGAGGTCTTACCAGCTAGCCCAACCGGGAGACAAAATTGCGTTTGAGCAAGATTTCTGCCTAACAGCAGCCATCAGTTTGTTAAAAATCATCCTCTCTAATAATTTAAATCCAGAGAAATTTGTTGCAGCAGATGATCAGAAGACTAAAATATTTACGCTGTCTGATGAAGTTTACCATGAGGCGTGCGCTATCTGTCAAGATTATTTAAAATTCATTTCCCACGATGATTTGGACGAAGAAGAATTTGAAGAGTTCTCATCAACAAAATATACTCAATTTTTAAAAATCTACGATTCGATGAAACGCTCAGATCTGATCGTTACTGTAGAGAATTACCAAGAAAAAAGCGAATTTATAATGTATTTGCTGGATAAACTAAGAGAATCGTTACCACAATTTGATATTGATGGCACTCGAAATATCTGGATCCTCAAGCCAGGTGCGAAATCTCGCGGTAGAGGAATCAAGTTGTTGGATGGGCTTACGGAGATTATGAAGTTGGTTGACTCTCAGATCGGATTGAATGAGAGGAAATATGTCATACAGAAATATATCGGTCAGCTAGTTTTGTTTCATTTTCATAAAATAGCATGTCTTAAGAAATTTATCAAACAAATTTATCAACCCTACCTATATTTCAGAATATGATTTTAGATTGAAAATTTTCGAAAAATGCATTTTTTTTAAATTTAGAAAGACCATTACTAATTTGCAAAACAAAGTTCGATATTCGTCAGTGGTTTCTGGTGACCGGTTGGAACCCTCTGACAGTATGGTTCTATAGGGACTCCTACATTCGTTTCTGCTCTCAACAATTCACACTGGACGATTTTGAAGTGTTTGTTTACAATATTTTCATTACTTATTAAAAATTTTTTTTTGGTTAAATAAACGTGAAAATGTTGAAATAATAGTCTAAGTTGATAAAATATGTTAAAAACTCATTCCCACCCGTTCGATCCACAGATCTATCCACCTATCAAACAACTCCATCCAAAAACATTACACGAACGAAAAAACTCGATCTAAAGAGCTTCCTGGGAATAATATGTGGACTTGCCACAACCTGAAGAACTACATGCAAATGAATGGCGCACCCGAAGGCGTCTGGGATCAAATAATTTTTCAGGGCATGAAAGACGCCGTCATCAGTTCTTTGCTCTGCTGCCAAGAAATCGTTGAGCACAGAAAAGTAAACAAAAATTATGCCACTTATGAATGAATAAAATTATGAACGAATAAATATTTTATATATTTTTTGGTTTTGTGTTATTTATTACAAATAATTATCTTAAAAAAGGTCTCAAAGTTCACTATGCCACAATTAAACAAAAGAAGTCATTTTCAACGACAGAATACCTTTGAACTATTTGGTGCTGATTTCATGCTGAGTGAGGATTATCAGCCATGGCTGATTGAGATCAACTCTTCACCGTGCATGGCGCCTTCTACATCAGTTACTGCATGCATGTGCCCGCAGGTTCTTGAAGATACCCTGAAAGGTTCACTTTTCAAGTGTATACCTCGTTAATATCGTTCTAATTTCGAGATTATTTTAGTTGTATAATATTATTTTGTTTCATACTACACCACACACACACACACACACATACATCGACACACACACACACACACTGACACACAAACACACACACATTGACACACACTGACACACACACACACAAACTCACGCACCAACAGTTGTTCTTGATTTGAAAATTGACAAAACAGCCAATACTGGACTTTTCCAGTTGGCGTTCAAACAGAACCAAGTTCAAATACCATCATTTTTTGGGTCGAACTTCCAAGTCGACGGTCAAACGATGACCAAACCTTACGAGAGGTTACTAAGCTGTCCGATCCCAAGGCCGAAGAAGAAGTCGCGAAAGTCCGTCAAACTGAAACTAATTCCATTTAGTTTGATTACGCTGGAGAATGAGGAGTTGAAAAAATCGAATCTCAATAAAAATTATCGAAACAAAACTCGCAAGTTTTGCATTCATTCGAAAAACCGACACCACAATAATAATAATAATAATAATAATAATAATAATCGTCTCCAACACAGCAGCCATCTTCGCGGTCATCATCAACAGCAGCAACTTACCGGTCGTAACTGGAATGGAATGAAAGGAGGAATGCAGCTGATGAAGTTTAGTGAAAGAGATTTCCCACTGCATTCGCTGGTTGGATACCTGGAGGGAGACAAATTGAAAAGGACAGTTGACGACGAAAACTTAGATGAAAGTAAAGATGACAAATCGAATAATTATGAAACTCAAAAATTATTTTTCAACAACAACAACAACAACCAAACTGCTACAACCAACAACTATAAAATCAACAAAAAATCATCCAAGAGAAATCAAAGGCGCTGCCCAACATGCAAGAAATACATGCCAGCAGCAACTGACACATGCAATTGCTACCTCCAATCCATCGTCAATCATTTGCACCTACCCGAGTCAAGTTTGCATCAGAGGAATCTTGAAGTTACAAACGAATTTCAAATTTTCGAAGACCCAGTCGATAAAATCGAAAGATTGAAACATAGAGAGAAAAAAATATTATTTTTAGACGAATATAAACTCGTGCCAAAAATATCATATCAATCACGTCATAGGCTAGAGGAGGAAACGGAAGTGGCAAAAACGATTTGCGAAGATGATCAATATCAATCATTATCATCCTCGTTAGTGTCTCGAAAATTTTCTCACCAATATCATCTAACAAATCCGAACCTCGGAAATTGCTGCCCAGCCACTGAGAACGACGACGGCATCGGTTGCATAACTTCAAAATGTGAATACAACAACAATAACATTGAAAACGACAACTATGAAAACTTCTACAACAACAACATTAATGACATTAACAAAACAGGCTTTGAGCCTGCCAATAACACCAACAACATCAACAACAATAAGGTCGGAAATTGGTGCAAGTTTCCCAACATTTTCAAAGCAATTCAACAAAACGACAACAGCAGCTACTACAACCGTTATCCACCAAACAACAACGACAACATCAACGCCAATAAAACCAGGCCACCTCAACAACAGAACGCAAAACGCGAAAAAACTTTTAAGAATGTAGCCACCAACGATGCAAGAAACGATGAACTGCTGATAAATTTAAAAATAATCGCGAATAAAATTAATCTAAAGGTAATAAATAGGCCATAGACTACAATAAAGACATGATGTAAAGGCTGTGAAGCACTTGCAAAACATGGATTATTATCTTCAAATATTTACGATTACAAAATGTCAATTTTTTTCACCTGAAAATTCGTTTATTTTTATTAAAATAATTATCGTTTTACTTACTAACAATAAAAAATAAATTTGAGTATAATTCGGTAGTAACTTGGATGTATCAATTTCGGCTGTCGTTATTTTAGACCATGCCCTTTAAAAAACTCATCAGTTCTCCCTCTGACTGTCTTTCAAACTTTCAGCAGACCTTCAACCTTTTAAAGATCGTTTTTTTTATAATAATATATATTAATAGTATTCCCATTACTACTGCTACCACCGAACACGATCAACGCTTCTCTTACTACTAATACTCTTGCTACTGCACATTACTACCATCATTATTGAAGCTACAGCAGCTACTACTATTACTACCATTAAAACTGTAGCCACTACCACAGATACAACGGACACTAAACCAGTGCTAGCATTAGGTGCAGCTAATAAACAAACATTTTATGACAATGGTTATAATTATTACCAATAGTAAAAATACTAATGTTGTTTTAATAAAAGTTGAGAACAAGAGCATTATAACACTATCATTAATTATTATTTGAGTGATGACGTCAATTTATAATGATCCGTAGATATAATAATCATCACAACATTTACCGTTATTATGGCTGGTCTTACCAATATCACCGTTAAAGCTATCACAATTTATTAATTCACTCACATTGTAACCAATTAATTCGATCATTAAAATTATGAATATTATTATAAATAATTATTATCTATATTATTAAAATTATGAATATTATTATAAATAATTATTATCGTCCTAGTTAAAACCAATCGATCAAATTTAGAGAATTTTAAACAGAAGAAGCGAACGAGAACTACGTATTAATTAAAACAGTGAAAAAGAAAGTTTAATAACAAGCAAACAATGCATATATATAAACATGGGAATAACAAGAAAACAATTATTATTCTTATCGTTGTTTATGTTTTTAAAACATCTTTGCATCAATTAATTAATTAATTAGTCATTCAATTAATTCTCTTTGGTTAATTTTCTCAGCTGTTGTCTAGTTACTANGGCAACGAGGTCAAAA